AACAGCAACAGCAACAGCAACAGCAACAGCAACAGCAACAGCAACAGCAACAGCAACAAGCTAAGAGAAGCAAAGCAGTAACAACAACAACGCAATACAATCAGCAACAACATATATCATTAAAATACTCTTATAGTAGTCAATTCAAAAAGGGGCTGCAAGTTTCAAGAGATAACCTGTTTCTTTTTGTCTTCTAGACCGCGATATTACATTCCAAGTGTAGCCAACAACGTCGTGGGCCAACCACGCGGCAGGTTAGGAAATCAAAGATACTTTACACTCTTACATAGCTACTTTAATGTTGCGAAACATCAATAGTACATTAACAAATAATAAGGGCTAAATCCTCATTTTAGGCCAAAAGCCTTGTATCTTTGGAATACTCTTTACGTCTTGACAAATGAGATTCGAGTTATCGAGGGACAAATTATAAAAAAAGGACGTCAAGAGAACTGAAAAAAAAAAAACCCACTTCGAGTTACCTAGGGTTTGAGTTATCGGGATTCTACTTTATATCTTTTAGTAATTTTTTGTTTTTGTTTTACAGGTTTTCAATGCCAAACCAAGCATTGTGGCGTAGCATGCCAAGTCAAGCATTCCAGAGTCGTGCACCATATACAATGCAGCAGCAAAGTGCAATGCAAGCCATGCAGCGATCTGCCATGAATCAGTTCAGAGATCCCCCTCCACTTACCACCAGCCAGATTGCCAAGATGGCGGGAATAAGTGTTCCAATTGCCATACAGCCAGGTACAGGGCTTATCGGTACGAACTCGATTTGACTTGTTTTCATTGTTACGCGCTGATTGAGACAACAGTCGTGACAGAGAAATCGGGGAAATAGACTAAGACTGTCAATCAAATAGATTGTTCTGTATCTTTACATACTCTGACTGATTGTCGGTAGTGTATTGCTCAATTTTCCTGTCGTGACTGTGACCTCGATCAGCGCGTAACAATGAAAACAGTGGTAAAATATACGAGTAGATGTTGCTGGATGACCACGGATGACCACGGTCACGTCTCAATCAGATATGTGTATTCTAATGGTGTAGGACCTAGCGTATCTCCATTAATCACTCGTTTTTATCTATTCCCAAGGGTTAAACAAGAGAGGAAAACGTACAACGAAGAAGAAGACCAAATCCACCAAAAGCCAAAAGCGGTTTTTCCTTGCATCTCCATTTGGTGGGCAAATGCTTTCAGGAATGCAATTGGCGCCCGCGATTCCTATGGCCAGTTATGCACCACAACAACCTGTTTCCCATAGCCCATTCCTTATTCCGTCACCAGCTGGTGTAAGCCCAATTTTCCATCAACCTCTCACTGCCTATCCTGCTGCAGCATTATCAGAATCCCGTGCGCCAATGGGAGTTCCATATTTTTCGGGCGTTAGATTACCACCTCCTCAAAACCCGGTTCCTCTCTCTACTTCTGGTATACTGTCTCAATCAATGCCTGCCGTATCAAGACAAGGTAAGATATTAACTGTTTTCCAAACGGAAAGCTGCTTATACGTGATAGAATAAGTGATTGCTTAGTTACTTATTGTTTAATATTTAAGGTGTGCCCAATCAAAACCCTTCAGATATAATGCGAAACTGGTTTTCCTCGCCCATGCAAGAGAGCCAAGCATTCACGAGTCAAGGTAATAATGATCATTGTAATGATTCTTACCAAACCTTCAATTTCTTATCCATGCCCTGAAACAACCTCTGGGCTGATCTAAGTCAGGGCA